ATTTATTTCTGTTTTTGACCTCCTTACAGCAGAACCTGCAGGTAGTTCAGGGACTGATCAGGTGTGTTGGAGCAGGAAACATGTAAAACATGAAGGGCTGCGGCCCTCCAGGACCAGGACCACCCACCCCTGTAAACTCATGTTTTATAGTTTGATGGATCCAGCAGGGACCGCAGCTTAGGTGACGGCCATCTTGGATTTCCAAAATAGCATTTTAGCTTCACTCCAGGTGGATAAATATAAGTTCTTGTCCACACCTGAGAATGTTCTGTAGCTCAAAGGGTAAAAACAAGTTCAGAGCAGCTTTGTCCTGACAGAATTAAATGTTTTGATATAAATTGTATCAAACATAAAGGTACACAGAACTAATTTATCAGTTCTGGTAATTATTTGCTTATTAAAGTCCAGATTATAGGACCCATTAATGTTTAAATCTGAGCTTACCTGACAGGTGCTGAACGAGTCCGTCTCCCAGTCCTTCTCATCTGACAGGCGGAACTGACTGAACGAATCCCCTAAAAACACAAATAATTATTAGATCCTCGTCCTCGGGGTGTTCAGCACTTCAACACACAAAACAAACTTCAGAGTGAAACAAAAAGAGTTTTTCTAAAAGCTTCAGTGAGTTGTTGACATGTGACTCTGGCCTCGCTGCAGCTGCAGCTCTTGTGAAATTCACGGTGATATTAATAAACAGCGTCGCCCTCGACACACGAGGAGGACTGGGGCTGCCGGTGAGGAGCCGGCAGGAGCAGGAGGTCCGGTGTGAAGCACCGCTCTCCTGGTTCTGCTGAGCGCCGTCATCGCTGCGCTGCTTTGGAGAGGGAGGAGGAGGAGAGGGAGGAGAGGGAGGAGAGGAAGGAGGGGAAGGAGAGGATGGAGAGGGAGGAGAGGATGGAGAGGATGGAGAGGAAGGAGGGGAAGGAGAGGGAGGAGAGGATGGAGAGGGAGAAGAGGATGGAGAGGGAGAAGAGGATGGAGAGGGAGAAGAGGGAGAGAGGAAGGAGAGGAAGGAGAGGGAGAAGAGGGAGGAGAGGAAGGAGAGGGAGAAGAGGATGGAGAGGGAGAAGAGGGAGAGGGAGGAGAGGGAGGAGAGGAAGGAGGGGAAGGAGAGGGAGGAGAGGATGGAGAGGATGGAGAGGAAGGAGGGGAAGGAGAGGGAGGAGAGGATGGAGAGGGAGAAGAGGATGGAGAGGGAGAAGAGGATGGAGAGGGAGAAGAGGGAGAGAGGAAGGAGAGGAAGGAGAGGGAGAAGAGGGAGGAGAGGGAGAAGAGGGAGAAGAGGGAGAGAGGAAGGAGAGGGAGGAGAGGAAGGAGAGGGAGAAGAGGGAGGAGAGGGAGGAGAGGGAGAAGAGGGAGAAGAGGGAGAGAGGAAGGAGAGGGAGGAGAGGAAGGAGAGGGAGGAGAGGAAGGAGAGGGAGAAGAGGGAGGAGAGGAAGAAGAGGAAGGAGAGAGAGAGGGAGGAGAGGAAGAAGAGGGAGGAGAGGAAGGAGAGGGAGGAGAGGAAACATAAAACAAAAACACAAAATAAAAACAAACACGAAACAAAAACACAAAACAGAAACACAACAGAAACACACAACAGAAACACACAACAGAAACACACAACACAAAGCTAAACAGAGAAATCAATATCGGACTTTAATATCAGCCCAGTTGTACATATGGAACGATGCTGATTTTAATGTTGACATGTTGTGCATCTCTAATTATTTTAAATCAACATTTGAAACCTGAGACTTTAGATCAAACCCAGAATGAAGCTTTAGTTTGTAGAAGATGTAGAAATGATAATTAGAGTTTTACTCTTATTTCTGCTCAGACTGTGCTGAAGATCAGTCTCTGTACAGCTTTAACCAAAACTAACTCTTTATTTCTCTTATTTACAATAAGAACAAATATTCAGACTGAAACTGTTTTTGTTTGATGTGAAATTTGCTTTGGTTTCAAAATGAATTTCCCTCAATTTAAAGTTTTAAATCTGAATTAATTTGCTTTGAAACTGTTCTTTTGTTGTATTAGAAACAGTGTAGTGGCTGAGGCGTGTGAGGAATGTGCTGCAGACACACTGATGTGTTGTGTTGTGTTGTGTTGTGTTGTTGAGCAGTTAGATGTTTTATGAGGGATTTCAGTCGAGTCTCCCAGCAAACAAAGTCATGTAGAAACTGGGATAATCTACAACAGATTACAGTGTTTTAATCCAAAAAGTGTGAACGAAACAAAGAAAGCTTGATCCAACAGGTTAGATATTTTCAATCAAAACTAAATGAACTTCTGATGGTGCTATCGTTAGGTAACAATACTTAAAGTTTTGGTTTTTATGGTTTGGTGGGTCAGAACCGGTGATATTAGCAGGTTAAAGCTGAAGCTGAAGCTGAATGAGCGTGCCACACACAGATGGTCTGTCAGTGGGAGACGTGACGGAGGAGCTGCAGTCAGCTGCCCTCTGTCTGCCTTCAGCTCCAACCATCAGCACCATCTGTGGACCGGGTCGGCAGGGGAGGAGCTACCTGCCGTCCAACGGGACGCCTGATGGACAGGAGCTTTGTGGAGGACACAAAGACTGTGAGACGAGCAGATAGCAGGAGGGAATGAGAACGTCAGCTTTAAGTGACGGCTCAGGAACAGACGTCTCCTCGTCTGATGTCCAGATGTGAGCAGGAAACTGACAGCAGATCGATTCACGTCAGCACCGGGATCTTAAACCCATCAAAGAACTGGCAGGAGGTTCCAGATAACATCAAGAAACAAGACGTGAACCAACAGCTGAAATCTGTTCCTCTGAAAACGTGCAGTCTGACAGCTTCCTCAGTCAGACCTGTTGTTGAACGTTCAGAGGAAAGTCTGGGCTCCTGCACATGTTCACATCAACATGAAGCTTTCTGCTGAAACAAGCTTTCTAACAGTGATTTTACTGCAGCACTCCTGCTGAGAGGCCTGCCTGTGGAACTCGTCTGCATGAAGGAGCTCCTGCCTCTTGACACCTCGCAGGCTGAACCTCACACCCACAAACTGCTAACGCAAAGTCCCGCTCTCACTTTTATTTTTCATTTATTTTATAAATCGAGGATGTGTTGTCCACGCACACTGTCCCGTCCTCATCACCTCCTCTCTGCTCGTCTTCACCCGTCTGTGGACGTCTGACGCTGAGTCAGCAGCTTCCCAGCAGGATCAACAATTAATGATGTAATTATAACGATGAACTCTGGGATGTTATGTTTGACTTTGTGTTCATTTAGTTTTTTACTTTTATAAAAATACTGCTGCTTCTTGTGTAATGGCATTCATTGTGAGGTTCTACACTTTATTCATTTTAACACTTATAGACTGAAATCAACCAAGTAAACAAACAAACAACTATTAAATCAATGCAGCATTTATCACTAAAGTCTGGTCTGCTGTAATTCTTTATGAGGACGTCCAAAAAAACAAACTAAATACAGTATTCAGTTGGTCCAAAATCTAACTTCTTAAATCCCAAAAAACAAAACCTCTTAGTTCCTGTGACACGCCTTTCCTTCAAATACAAAAACTCTAAGAAAACATTTCTATATTTAAGAAACTTGGAATAATACACATGATTTTACCCATTTTGTCACATAACTGGCCTATTTTCTTTTAAATTTGGCTCAAAGTGAAACAGGAAGTGACATCACAGGGGAACTCATTAATAAAATAAACTCGCTGGTCTCTGTTTATTAAAACAAAATTATTCAAACTAACCCTTTATCGTCTCTTTGATAGAAACTCAAAATAATGTAAAGAAACATCAGATTCTTCTCTACAGTCTGTTGTTAGCTTTAAAACATCACTCTGTTTACATGCAGACATTCCCCTTTGACATCACTTCCTGTTTCTTCACATGCAAATATCTCAACAACTGTTCATCTCAGTGACGTGAAATTTGTTTTACATGTTATTAATGTCATCTTTCCAAAAATGCATTCATGTTTATTACAAAAAATTGATGTCACAGGTACTTTAAAAATTGTATTGTTCCTTATTTTCCCAACAGAGCCCTTCACTGTCAGACTGCAGGTTTACTTTGGTTCCTCGAGTTTCTAAAAGCAGAACAGGAGGCGGAGCTTACAGTTTTCAGGGTCCTCTCTCGTGTTTCAGCCTGCTGTTAAAGACCAGACTCAAGACTTTCCTTTTACAGGATAAATCCTAGAGTTAGGGTCAGGTTTCCTAAGTTATCCCTTAGCTCTGCTCAGGCCAAGCCCCGCCCCCATCCTAATTCTGATTGGTCGGTTGTTCTAGTGTTTGAAAACAAACGCTGTGTCTCGTCCACAAAAATATCTACTAAACATCTGAAAACTGGAAGAACGACACGGCGCACTGAGGGCGTCGTCACATGGAAAGGGGGCGTCGCAAAAACCAAAGAGGGCTGTGAAGCTCCTTGTTTGGATTTAAAGAGACAGCCTCGAAACGAGTTTATGTGAGACACGCTCAAAAAAGGGGCGGGGCTTACGGAGTTCCAACAAGGAAGAACTCAGACCAAAGCGYTGCAGATCCACTCAGCATCATGTCTACATCTTTATATTTGCAGTTCTTGCTGCCAGTTTTCTTTAGTTTGTTTTAAAGTCAGACCTCAGTAAAACGTGGCTTTTCTTAAATGAAGTGTGCACATATCACACACGTTGTGAATCTTAGTGAAAGCTCTGACACTAGGTTGGAGAAGTGCGTCGCTGTCCGTGCACACACCACAGCTGCACACCTGTACCTGGACGACACCTTCGGCACACAACCTTCTCTGAGTCGTAAAGCTTTAAGCTGCAGTCTGAGAATCTTGTGGTGGGATCCATGGAGCCGGTCCAGTTGAAGCGAGCAGCCCCTCCGCCCCACCCGTCACGCCTTTTTAACCAAACCAATTAGCCCACCGTGACACGTTGCTGAAACCCACCACACGTCCATAAATCACAGCTTGCGCTAATTGCAATTAAAAATCTGGAGCAAACCAGGCGAGACAACAGAAGGCTGAAGCTCTTTGCTCTTAACTTTTAATGGTGATTCTGTGGAACTGTTGCTGTCAAAGTCGGTCCGGTCCACTCAGGACTTCACTCTCATTAAAAGAAGTGGAGAAACTCTGCTTTTGTTTGGAGCCGCGAGGCTTCCTGCCTCAGAAATCAACCATCATTTTCAACTGAAGCTTCATTYCCTCGTTATCCTGATTATTAGTTAAAAACAGGTTTAGATCTTTAATAATAAAATAATAACCTGAAATATGTAATTTACTTTCATATTTATACTTTTCACTAAATCAGCAGAAACATCTTTTCTTTTAAATCTGTTCTTATCTAGTTCCTACACTGCAAAAAACTGTCCACCTAACCAAGTTTTAAAACCTTATATCAGACAAAAAGTCTTTTTGATCTTGTTTTCAGACTGATTTA